AACAGACACGGGTATTTACAAATCAAGGGAGAGGAAAGAAACAGAGCGTTCATAAATAACCATGGCAATGCAGAACAAACCAGTTGTGAAAAGTCCGTTTGATTTCTTTCTGTCTTTCACAGCAGATGGACGGTAGAGTCTGATATTTTTTACATCCTCACTCTTCTTTTTCAGCTTATTGTGTCCACGGCGGAGAGATGGCGGATGATGGAGGCATCGATGGTTGCTGGTGGGTTTTTTATCTCATTTCCTGTGGAAAAAATGAAATAAAGTCAATTGTGAATAATTAATAAAAAAAGTCCTGATGTGACACTTGGCTGCTGAACGACAGAGAGCTGCGACTGCTTCTAATGGGATTAAAAGTTGAACTATTTGATCAAAAACTCACTTTTTTATCTTCCTATTCAAGCGGTTATAGATTTTTTTTCAAGGCTGAGGATGAGGGTAGACCCAGAGAGACGGTAAAGACTGAAGGAAGATTGGTGTTTCAGAAAGTTAGTCGTGTTCTCACAGCTGAAGGATTTTACTCTTGTTTTCGTCTTTGTGTCTGAGATCTCTGTCTGGCACCCTGTCTGTAGATATCATTTTATATTAATGACTTTTTTGTAAAACCCTCTCTAAAACATACAGCCGTCACCTTTTCTGTAGCAAAAAAAAAAAGGGGAAAGTGCAATATATTCTGTTTCTGAGCAATAAATAATGCAGATAACAATGTTTTTTTCTTACGTAAACACATATTTAAAATTTCTAGTATTTGACTAAAATCATATTTCTTCATTTTTCCATTATGTTTTTATTATTTTCGCCTTTTATATTGAAATGACTGTGTTTTTGTGGAGCCTTTATATTTAACAGTTTATTCTTCCACCATCCCTTTGTTGCTGCAACATGACAATTCCCCAGTGTGGAATCAATTAAAGTTGAATCCAATCTAATTTATTTAACCTTAACTAGTCTCTTTAGTTAATGTTTTGTAATAAGTTTAAATAAGATATTTCAATGTACGTCAATACACACATTCTGAATTATTTAAAATATAAACAAATACCATATTGTAATTGTAAATTATTATTATTATTATTATTTTAATTATTATTATTATAAGAAATCCAGGGGAGGTGGCGTTTTCTCGTACTGGATCCAAAACATACTTAGATATATTTAAATCACTTTCATTTCTACATTTATGTCACACTAATTTAGGCGGTAACTGTTCCATTGTATTGTATTCTATATTATTCTATTCCATGCTATTTGGAAAGAAACGTTAACAAAGGTCGGTTTCAACAGAGCTAACCAGATTTAGCTTTGCTCTGTAACACTGAGCAACTATGAAGGAGCTAGAGTGATGAATATTGACTTGTTTTTCAGCACAGTGGTGGGATGTCAAAGTCCCCAACTCCGACCCCAAACCCCAGGAAACACAGGAAGTCTCATGGCAGGAAGCACATCCTGCATAAAACAGTACCAAGTCACTATTCAGGGATGATTAGGAAGTTTATAGTTTCTCATTTTTCAATTGTTCTTCTGGTTCCTTAAGTTGATCAAGTAATCGTTAACCCTCATACACCCAGTCTGTCTGTCCAATATTAAACATTCCAAAGCGAGGACAAAAGTAAAGCACTAGTTGGAGACACAATGGACATCTGTCCTGCACTGCCTCCTGGGTCAGAGGGCAAAGATAGCAGGCAGACGCACCTCAGGAGAGGCAGAGTGAGGAGCGATGAGGGGTAACGCAATATCCAGGCTTCCTGTGGAAACACCACAAACTTTTATTGAGAAGACGAGCCTGTGCTTTCATGTTCCCGTTCAGGCGTGAAAAGGCCAGCGAGGGTCACATGGGGGCAGTTGGGGAGCGAGGTGGTGTTCCTTACTGCACCACAGGGGGTGACCTGAGAGGCACGAGATACAAGGGACCTCTGTGTGAGTGAAAAAGTAAAGAAAGCCCTACTGTCTGTGGCTGTGCGTCGGCGTGTCACTTTTACAAGTTGCTCTGCTGTGCTTGGGTGTCAGCTGTGTGCTGAGGTCACCGTCGGCTGACCTGAGGCAGAGCCATCCTTTCTCTTTCTCTGGACACAGACAACTTTATGACGCCTCCGGTTACAGCTGCAAACTTAACAACTACAGCGCCAGAGGAAAGTGTTGGCACTGCTGCAGCGTGCACGTCTTACAGAGTCACGTCTGTGTGCTGCAGGCGGACTGAGTGACCTTCACTGTCCTTCACTCTTAAGTCTCTCCTGCCGCAGCTGTCAGTACTGAAATGGAGCTTCGAAACTTTTTTCAGAATTCAGATTTGCAAAACTAATTTTTTTTAAAATCTCATTGAGGTTTATGTGTTTTTTGCTTTTATTTTATTCCCTTCACCAATTAAACGACCTTTCCCTTTTATTTTAGCTTTGTTTAATTTCTGATCAACATCATCAAACTCCAATTTTTATATCCATTGTACAAACAGCTAAGGAACAGATGTTTGGTATTTTCACTTATGAACTTATGAACAGTATTTGGACAGACGGAAAGAACGACAAGGATTTTTTATCGGCAACAGAACTGGGAAGAGAGCACTATGTCCTGCCTTCTAAAAAATTAAAATGCCAGGTACAGGGACCGCAGAGAACAGGGGATGCAAAGTCCTGGCCCCTGGGCCTGTTCCAGCCCGCAAACTCCCCTCGTCCAGCCCGAGGCTAGATGTCAATGAAAACTTAACTTGGTGTCTTGATGAACTTTTTTCTGTTTCCGTTGTCTAATTTTTTCATTCATTTAAAATATTAAATAGGTCTTTAAAAAATAAAAATAAAAACCATTTGTACTTGAAAATTAAAATGCACAGTATTTATAACTGCTAAAACTTCTTTTGTGTTCAACAACCAACACTGATGTGGCCCTCAGGTCATTAGAGTTTGAGTCTCCTGGTATAGAAGCTCAAGAACTGGCAGAAATGTAATTTTAAACTGCAGCAGTCCTTAAAATCATCACTAAAATGTTGAATGAAACAGAGAAGAAAAGTTGAAGTTGTTTTTTCGGAGCGTGTTGCAGCTATCAATCTGTCAATCCATTTTTGTCCTACAGAAGGTGCTTTTGTTCATTTTTCTGACCAATCAGGTTTATGGCCGTTTCTTTTATTTAATTATTACACTTTTTGTGCATTTTTTAGAAACTGTTTTAAAACTTGTTTCAACATTACAGACACTATTCTATTGCGTATTGGCTTTTTGAAGCAGATTGAGATACGTGAATGTGAGCTGCACCTGCAAATTTTGATTAAAATTATCTTTAAAAGTTGGGGGAAATAATTAAAAACACTAACCCAGGGACTGAACTTCAGAACATTTACTCTGATTTTTTTCTTCCTCTTAATTAACAGTTTTCTATTAGACAAGAAGCTGGAGCTCATTTAATCTAGAGATTAAAAAAAATTAAATCATGTAAATACAACTGCTCTTATTAAATCAAGGCAAATGAAAATGTTAATTACAAGGATACTTGATATGAAATACTGGAGCCAGTGTTTTTTCCTTAATATTAATTTCTCCACTTTGTTCTCACTAATACAAGTATTATCTTGAAAATCCTTGAGGTAGGAAGGAAAGTAATTATGCAGCGACACCTAATTTCGCCTAATTTTCCTTTTCTTTCTTTTAACCTCGAAAAACATACTGAACACATTACAGTTACACAGATTAATGCCATATTCATGTTTACAATCAAGAGCAGACAGGAGCCTGTGGCTCAAAACACTAAATGGCCACACAGTCTATGCCACAGTCCAATACTAGCACTAAGTGGCTAAATCTAGCGCCAGAGTCAAACTAAAGTTGATTGGCCCGTAAGTCATGTGGGTTGCTGCGTTGGCTGACAGAGACAGACAGACATATACATTTATATATATATATATATATATACAGTATATTTATATATATATATATATATATATACATATACACAGTATATATACATTTTTTTAATTTTTTTTTAAAATACTATCTTCACTGTGTCTTACCACAGCTGTAAGTATGTACATGTAAGTAAGCTCCCTGCAACCTCATGCCTTCTAATCTTTGAATCGTTGTCACTGCGAGGTTCTCCACGAGTTACTGAATCTCTAACTGCTGGAACTCAGGACGTGTCAGACACAGTTTGCTCAGTGCGGCCAGGCCAGTATGAAATCCACACAGTTTTCTGTTCAGCTGGCACAGCACGTCAAGCCGTAACAGATAGCAGCTCCCTGCGAGGGAGTCAGCGGGGGGGTGAATTTGAAGGAGCGCTCCAGCAGCGAGGTGCTGCCTCTCATCTGCACTCTGAAGAGACGCCATCCTCCCTCTAAAGTCTGTCCTAAATGGACGCGGGCTAATGGTAGATCTGTATAAATTAGCTTGGAGGCTCGCCGTGTGTTTCAACGCACATGAACACATCGGGACCTGCAGCAGCTCTCACCATGCGCCCACACGTACTGTGTTAGATCATGTGTTTTACAGAGTGCAGGTAATGATATGTAGACAAAGCTGAAACACCATCAGCCTGATGGAGCGGCAGCCTTTGTTTCTGGGCTCATAAATATCATAAAACATCAATTATTGAATGCATCAAAAGTGAAAAAGGAAAGAGAAAAAGATTTGCCTCCTTAAAAAGGTAGAGAAGTAATGGAAAAATTATAGGGGGCGCTGTGTCGTACCTCACTGTGTTTCCTCACATTGTTGAGCCCTCGGGAGCCCGTGGAGCCTCTGGATGAGGAGCTTCCTGTGGTCGAGCAGTTACTGGACATCTGACTCCTGGAAAGGTAGCACGCTTTACCACCGTACAGCATCATGTCTTCATCTGAGGGGGAAAAGGACAAGACTGAGTAAAAGGAGCACAGGGGAACCATCACACCGACTAAAACATTCCTCTTGACCCTACGACACTTGCAGCAGTCTGAGCGGTTCCATTTGAATCCTCCCGGGACTAATTCATAGATTCTGCATCTGCTATGATCTACACTGGTCCATGTGATGTAAATCTAACCACCCACTCATGCAGACCCCGTGTGCATAAGTTTTATGACTTGTTTGAATGGGTCCCTGGGCATGTGTGCACTTGTGCACTCGTGACAAGAGCGTATATAAAACAGGTCTTTACTTTGTGTTACAGTGACTGGCTAAACCCCAGTGCTAATGCTAAACAGATGAGTAACAGATGGGGCACTGGGGTATTTCAACATCAGGGACAAAGAGCAGCAGGACCTAGACTAAGATTTGTTTTTTACTAAAGCAATTGAAGATACACCTGAGCCACCAAAAAGAGTTCATTAGTGTTTTGAAACAAAAAAAATAATGCTACTCAGTTAAGGTGATCATTTATTTAAATTTAAAAATTAAAATTGCAGTTTGTGTAATATTATTTAATCCTGTTTCTTAATATATTGACTATCATTTTGATTAAAATAGTCTTTTTAAAGTCAAAAATAAAATTGCCTTTAATAATTTTCCTGCTTGCTGTCATCACTGTGGTCTGAGTTCACATACACACTGCACCTATTACCCACAGAGCTGTGGCACCGACATAACACAGCCTTTCACGTCATTGTATACCATACATTAAAAACCCAAACGTTAGACGTAAAAATCCATACCTCAGTATTTGCTAATACACAAATGAAAATATCCATACTCCGTTTGTGTAAAATGGTATTAGGAAAACCCTAGTTTGCAAAGCTACATTTGTTGGTTCCAAGAGAAGGATTCTTTGGATTATAGAATGGGCAAAGAGCTGTTTAATACTATGTAATACTGTGTACTGTCCTGCAGTGTAAAAAGCTGGTTTTACTAAAAGATATTCAATTGAACCTGTTCAAAAACTGTTTAAACTAAAGTTTTTTGAGAACAATAAAGAGGCTTTTTCTTCTTTCGTCGGTGCATGGCTGGAGCAGGAAACACTGCAGTGCAGGGTAAGAGTGTTGCACAGAACAGTACAGAAAACACTGCAACTACACACTGAGCTGCTGCAGCCAAATGTCCAGTATTTTTATTATCTATCTCTGCCTTATTTTTAATCTTCACAGCTTAAAGCAGAGTCCCTGCAGAGACTGGCTCACAATGTTAATTATGACTGACACATTACATTGTGCTAAACTCTGACTTACTCTCAGCATGTCTTTGTGCTGAGCCTTTCCGCTGGTGGCTTCCACTGCTGCATTCGCTGCGCTCCAGGGAGGACATGGTGCTATTGCTGGTCTCAGTGCAGCCCTGGGGAACCAGCAACCTGTCCTCTTCTGGGGGTGGCTCTGGAGGAGGGGGCAGGTCTATACGGAGATAGAAAATCCCTGAGGAAACTGTTTCATAATGCACTATTAGTGAGTGCATAACTGCAGAAGTTAGTTTGGATGTTTTTTTTCCTTTTAAAAGGCTTAGAAATTCTATATTAGATCTGAAAAAAGAATATGATCCTCATGCGATGATGGATTATGTTTTTGTTTTATATTCCACTGAGCACGGCAACTTAAGATGATGATCTTTTCAATAATATTTATCTGCTTAAACCAGATTAACAGACTAAACCCAAGGCTGTACAGTGTGATTACAAGTCAGATTTATGTTTATCATCAAGAAGATGAGCCACGCATAAATATTCAGGAAATATTAAATCACAGATGGCGCTGCTAAAGCCTAACAGGTTATGAGGCACATTACTCCCCGACAAATCAAAAGCAATAACCGTTAACATTGTTTCCTACGAATAATAATTTGAATCCTGAGGTGCCGTCGACACACGGCCGACCTCTGGCAGCATCACTGTCACCGTTACTGTCACTTTGGTAAAATGCTTATTTTTAATTATCAACTGCTCCGTGTCCTGCAGACTGTATAACACACAGTGAATCTGTGAAAATGTGATTGAGGAAGGAAAGAAATGTGACAATTATCTCTCTCCCTGAGGTGAATCACTCTGACTGGATGGCGGTGAGTCACTCACCTCCTTGTATGTCTCTTCTGTACGCCGAATTCTTTGACGCCTTTTTTTTCACACGGGATTTCTGACTGGGAGGGGTGCATGTGTCTGCGGGTGACGAGCGACTGTGCACTGCATGGGAGAAAAAGATGAAATTAGACTGACATGTGAAATGCTGATTGTTGAAAGAGAAAAAAAAAGAACTCTGGTAAATACATGATTTTGTTGTTGCTGCGTGTTTGAGGCTAATGTTTGCATGCAGGCTAATGTACTGTATATGCCAGCAGATGTATACCAGGTGTAGTGCTGCCACTGGTGTCTTCTTTCAGACCAGGCCCCTGGCTGTGGAGGCAGCGATGGGCAGGACTTTGGCACTGCAGCGTGCCAACCTCTGATGAGCCGTGATGCTGTTGGCCGGAGGGGTTAGGGTTGGACTGGGTGAGCGGTGGGCTTGGTGCCTGGGGAACTGGCACTGGACCGCAGGGTAACCTTCTGCTATGAGAAATAAAGGCAACGTGTTAGTGGAGAGAGCTATTCACTGCTGAAATGTTTGGTTGAGAGCGAGGTCTGAGTAACAAGGAGGAGGAGGAGACATGTCTGTACATAGACATGTTCAGTTAGTGATGCTAGAGAAAAAAAATTGGAATAAATGTGAATATTTTATTTAGAAAATAAACAGGAGTAAGATTATTTCTGTGTGCAATCTTTTATTTTATTTAAAAAAATATTTTATTCTGGGCACAGAAAGACCTTCTATCAAAGTTAAAAGAGACTAGAGAATTTTTTTTTCTCAAAAAAGAGGGACTGGTACGGTGCAGTATGATTTGGGTGGCGGTGGTGGAGACTGCTGCTCCTGTGATCTGGTAACGGATAAGTGGACGAAAATGGATGGACGGATTATATTAGTGTGTGGGTTGGATGAGTCTGCCTTAAGATTTATAAACACAGTCATCTCTTTCCTAAGAAAATCTCATTAGATTCACTAAAAGAAAATTGTGCTAATAATATTTTCACACCGTCATCATTCCATAATCCTATTTACAGACACGTACAGCACATACCGTGAAAACTGGGCTCCATCGAGCTGGTTGGGGCGCACGAGGTCACTGGGAGCTTGGTTTTCCTCATGGGGTGAGGGAGTGAGTGTGGCTGTAGACTGGTGACTGTAGGAGGTGGCCGGAGAGCAGGCGTTGTTCCTCTGAGGAGGTGAAGGCCCATCCTCGCAGCCCTCCATCAGGTAGGTCCTCTCAGGAAGAGGAGGACACCAATCCTCCTCCGAGCTACGGTCAAAAGAAAAATATATTTACTCTGACAGGTCCTGCCGAGGAGCTACAGCAGCAGCATGCAGATAAGTACGAGGATGCTAAAATATTAATGCTGTTCTTCCAGGCAAGTTAAACTGCCTGGCCTCTGGCAGAACTGCAGAAGGCTGAACCCTCGCTTGGAGCCATTGGTGTAATAAATGTGACACTCCCTAATAGTTTTGCCAAAGGATGGAATGACCGGTGGAGAGGAACACAGCTAAGTGTGTTTTAGGGAGGTGGGAAGCAGCTCAATCTTTAATGCAGTTGACTGAGGAAGACATAATTGAGTTGTCAAAGCCAGAGGCACAGCAAACAAAAGAAACAGTGGCTCTGGAGCCAAATATACCTGTGAGAAGTGACGGTTAGTCTTCATGAGTACAAGCCTGAGACATGCTAATTTGATCAAGAGGAGGCAGAGTGACTCACCCTAAGTCCATGTCCTCATGTTCTGTGTGTTCTTCTTCCTGCTCACACTGATCCAAATCTCCGATGGGTGGTGGCGGGGGCAGAGCGTCCATCCAGGTCAGGGACGGGGTCTTTACTGCTTTTCCCATCGCCTTCTGCCTAGGCTTCCCTACAAAGGAAGACGCAGAATGAAGAACATGGTAAGTGTCACACAGAACCTGGTGTAAGAGCAGGGAATATAAACAAGGAACATGACCAGAGATCAGGAGAAAATAAGAAAAAAAAAATCTGTTTTTTTTTACATTATATACTGGCGATGTGTTTTCCTTCGTGTTAAAAGCAACATCAATGCTGAAACCACTCTTTGTTAATGGAGTGTAAAATACCTCGGGGTTAGAAACTCATCCACAAATTGTTTTTTTCCCCTTTACTTTACTAAACAATCTGTGCTTGTTTTTATCAGCGAACGGTTTGATTATTTGAGGTTTTCTCTCTTCTATTACGGTTGCCTGCTGCAGATTTATGTGTTTGTCTGTTTTTATCTGCCTTTCCTTGTGTTGCTGTGCCGTTTGTTCCCTTTCATAAATAACAGTTGTTTGTTTTTAATCCAGTTGCTGCCCCCCCACCCCCACCCCCCCGTGTCATCTGGTTCTGTATATGTCATTATTCGTTTAACCAATCTGATGTGGTTTATATCCTGTGGGTCTGCAACTGCTGATCATCAGCTAATAAATCTACGATTTGATGCCAAACAATGATGAAGGAGAGGAAAGTTCATGTTTAATTAACCTTCACTTCATTATGTCTTCAGATGTTTTGTTTTGCTTCACCTTTGGGAATTCAAATTCTGATGCGTTCAATTTAAAAATATGATAATGTTAATTAACAAGTAATTAGTATCAAATTAGCTGACTAGTCATTTTACACCTTATAAAACTATTTCTATACTACATGGAGTAGTGATCAACAACTGGTGGTCCACGGGCCAAATCCTGCCCATCGAAACATCAACTTGGCCCGTAACTGGATACATCAAATAATGCTAGATCAAAATTTGATTTGATTTGATTGTTTTTATTTGAGTGTCGATCCAGAAAAATTCTGGCGACAAATATATTTGGTGACGTAGAGTATAAGTAAAATGTTGCTATTGTTTTTCCATTCATTTTTTATCTACCACCCAGCCAATCCTAGCTGTCAATAAGGAGGGGCAGGGTCACGCCCTGGGCAGCTCAAACAACCATTCAAACAACCATTCACACCTATGTGTTTATAATAGACAAATGTGAGAAATGTATTTAAGGTCAAATGTGGTGATTGATCTGTAGGATCCTGAAGTGTGGTATGGGGACGAGGACATTGGCATCACTGCAGCACAATGTGGCGCTGCCAAAAACTACTCTTCTTCAAACAAACTGCTGCTCAACACATGCTGTGCTGTTTCTGTTGATAAGCACAAACTAACAGATCTGTGTTGACTGAACTAAAGCCGATAAGGTCGTCTCTGCGGTCCAGGCCCTCACCAGTGCAGCGGTCTGGCTGAGCGTACTGGGCTCCAGAGGGCCCCGCTTGTGGTATCCAGTGGGCATCGTCCTGCTGCTGTTCGCAGCTGCTGGGCTGCGCCTGGTTGGTGAAGGGCATGATGGAGGTGGAGGCATAAGGGGCGGTGGAGATGTCCTGGGCGTAGGTGAAGCCGTTCAGGTTCTCGTTGGTGGCGTCTATGGTGCTGTAGATGGGACCTTCGGTGGAGCCGCCCATGCTGTACTTCTCCGTCTGATTCAGGTAGTTGGAGATACCAGCTTCTGCAGACGGGTGGAGGTTGAATTTAGTGGTCATCAAGAGAAATACATACTAGCAAAGTCAATACTGTGTTCTCCTTCAGGATTTTACCGTTATAGTATCTCTCTGCTGTGTCATGATTGGTGGTGCAGCAGCCCATGGCCTCTTTGCCACTGTGGACCAGGTTGGTTGTGGGCCAGGAGTCTGCCAGCCACGGGTAGTTGCCCATGCTGCCTCCGAGCACACCAGGTCTACGGAGATAGTGTGGGATTATTTACATGGGACCAAGAACAACATCAGATACAGTCCAGGTGAAAACACAGAAGGTAAATAGAGGCTGGATGAGTGGCCCACAGCAGGTGAGCTGAGTGGACTGGTGATAACAGCGGGTCACACTAGGCTGCTCAGCACTACCGTGAGACTGTACCCCCCTCCAATTTAGCCAGTGCTTAAATGATGAGAGTACTATATAGATATATGATAAACAACATTTATTTTTAATTCTAATTTAACAGCCTATATATAACTTATGAACATTCTTATCAAGCTGCATTAATAATCACACTGTGTTTAATAATGTAAACTAATTACCTTCCATTCAGTCCTGATGTCTCACCATGAGGAAACCCAACTGTGGAGGACAAAGAATGAATAATGAAAGGAGGGACGTTTATAGACTATTTGTTGACTACTTTTATAGCCTGTTTGCTATTTATGTCTATTGATGACAAATCTAGTTTGGACATTTTCTTCAGACACACTAAAAATGTATTTTTTGCTCAACCATGAGTTTCTCAAACATACATCGTCAGTATGGCACAGAATATGCAGGAAATCCTGTTTCAGTTTTCCTAAAAATGTTAAAATTAAAAATAGAATTCCCTGAAGATACAATGTATACAAGTAGACAATTATAAACTAAGTATACACTGGATATTTTGAACGCTTTTGCAACAATGTCATTCTTCATTAGGAACAAATGTGTGTGCCACAGACACAGACACCCAGTGGGACGTAAGAGAAATAAAACATCGCAGACAGTTTTGCTGACCTGCTGGCGTGTACGCAAAGGAAGCGGCGTAGTGACTCAGCTCCTTTCTCTTCTTACGCCTGCAGTAAATCCAGACGCTGAAACCCATGAGAATGACCCAGCAGGCTCCACCGATGCCGGCAATGAATGCTGGCTGCTTGACCACATCGGTTATCTGCTCAGCCAAGCTTACGCTGCTCTCCTCGTCACCGTCACTGCTGCCAGCACCGTTTTCTTCTCCTCCCATCGAGGGCAGTTCAGCTGGTAGCTCTGGAGGGAGGCAAAGAAAGGGAGAGGAGATGCCCGGTTAACTAATAAGTTGGTGTGATAACATAGTAAAAAATACATTTTTAACTCTATTTCCCCCCTTAAAAGGTATACTGGTTAATTTGCAGGTATATTTTATCAAAAAGCCAATTTAATTTGTATATCTAAGTTATCTTCTGGATATTTCTTAAGCTCTCAACCTTCAGTCAAAAAGTCCATTAGTCCATATTACCCACTGATTGACACCTAACACTTAGGTTTTAATGATGTCCGATCCGTATCATCTTTCTTATCGCAGACTTACTGATAAGGACAGACACAGGCTGACTGTGAGTGCCGACTCCAGCGCCAGTGACTGCCGCCACCTCCACCTGGTACAGAACCCCAGGCATCAGGCCTTTCAGTACTGTGGACAATGTGTTTCCGTCCACCGTCCTGTTGACGTAGTACCGTGTTTGGTTGTCTCCACCACTGCCCACACACCAAACCTGTTAGGATCAGAAACAGTGACAGGTGTGAAAAGGCCAACAAAGGCAGGCTGCAAACACTGACTATAAGTTTTCTCATAGCCACATTCATAACTGTAGCATTAAAAATAGCACATGATTTTATAAGACTTTTTTTTCATCTTCATGCTCTGTTTCCTTGTGCACATTTGTGTACCTTGTCTCCTGTGATTCCGTCTTCCTGCCCTGAGATTAATTGGTCTCAAACGTGTGTTAAATGTGTTTACCTTGTACTCCTGAATGACACCGTTTTGCATCTCATTGGGCGGAGGCTCCCAGGAGACGCTGACACCGGAGGAGTTGCTTAGTTTCACCGTTGCCGCTGTAACAGCTCTCGGTGGAGCGCTGGGGACTGTTAAGAGACGTGAAGCGATCAACATACTGATTCATGCCAACTGTGAATGGAATACTCAGTGTACACGCAAAATGCAATGCTGCGAACAAATATGTTATGTAAAAAAATCAGATAAAATCTCTAGAGTTTTTTTTTGTTTGTTTTCTCACCTTCTTCAGTCGTTCGCACCAGTAACGTCCGGCTGTCCTTGCCCTGGAATTCATCAAAATATGGACGGATCTTGATCTCATATTCAGTTCCTTTAAACAAGCTGCTGAGGACAGTGCTGCGCTCAGACGGAGAATTGATGTCCTGTAGGAGCCAGGATCCACCGCTCGGTCGGTAAAAAAGGCGGTAGCCTTGGACGTACTGAGACTGACGGTCAACCTTCACAGATTGAAAGTCACAACATGTAAACACAACAGAAATTTAAAAAGAAAATGATTGTGACTGGATAAAAACAGAACCAACAGCAACAACTGTGTGGTTGCACTTACAGTCCAGGAAACTCGGACTGAAGCAGATGTGAGTGTGACAGGCTCCTGCAGCTGGACGGCCACCTCTCCCAGTTCCCTCTGGACCTGCCTGTGATCCACACCCTGACCTGTAGGACTTACATCTGAGGAGAATTCCGAATAGTTACATCTTAGGAACTCAATATGGAAACAATTATGGCAGTGGATAATGAATTGGATGTTCTTCTGTTTGCTATGAGCAGGAAACAGACCCACCTTGTGTTCTGACTGGCTCAGAGATGGGGCTGGGGTCGCTCAGGCCGTATGCGTTGACAGCTCGGACAATGAAGAGGTATATGGTGTTGGGGAGCAGACTGGTGATCGTGTGCGTTTCCATTTTGATCATGTCGGCCACTGTCTGCCATTTGCTCCCTGCTGATTGACTGCGAAAGAAGTGCGACAGGAAATAGCACAATCATTTCCTGACAACCATCTGACAGCCATGTCAAAACTGGAGCAGTCCACCTGACATGTACAACACAGTATCTGATGTAACACTTCACCTGAGGGACTGTGTAGACTTTTTTTTCTCATTTATGGTTTGTGTAAGGAGACAAGTTCAATTCATGCCAGTGTTCAATATAAAATAACAAATATATAAATATTCTTGTGTTGAAAATCATAAAAATATCTGAATAAAACTATATTTTTTTACAACATTGGATATATATATTGTTTGAAAATAATTGAAAATAATATTTATATATTTACACCAACAATTGCAGGAATTCAGCATTTCAACGGCATTAAATAAAATGATTGTCACTGTAAATAAATCATATGAATGCATTGCAGTACTTGTTTCATACTGTATGTGGCGCTGGTCAACACTGTTCAGATACTATTTTAGGCAGCTAATGGGGAAATCTCAGGCCTGTGGAAAAAAATCTATTTTTGGCTCTCCCTAATCTGGTAAACAACAACAGACGTACGCGAAACTGTTGGGCCCTCAGACGTTTGTGCTCACCGGGAGATTTGTTACTCTGCCACGCTGGTGAATAAAGTGACGGAGGCTGTTACAAAGCTGAGCTCGTGGCTGTGTGGCACTCGCCTCCAGTGAGGCAGAACACCACCCTCAGTCTTTCTCCCCTGTTTCCCGCTGTCCCCCGTTCGCTCCGTCAGTTCACTGTAGTGCTGGCAGCATCAACATAACCCTCACTAACAATTTGTTCAACACTTTTAGATTTTACCCAGGGGCACTGTGGGGACTGTGGTGAAACAGCTTCTGTGCTGAGCTGCACAATTAGACTAAAGAGGAAAGAGATTCATGGATCTGTGAATTATGTGTGTGTGCGTGTGTGTGTGTGTGTGCATGAACTAATTCAAACTTACTCTGAGGCAGAAATGTTCAGAGGGAATTCACACACGCATGCACAAGGCTGCAGCCCCGCAAGTAACACAAGGAATGCAGTCTCACCCGTACAATAGCTAGCCTGTCTATGCACATTAAATAAACAAAATTAGCAGATGCACACACGCACATTCACACGCACACTCACACAGGCTCCACCACCCTCTCCTCTGCCTGTTCTCCTACCAACAAACCATTGCACCTTAAGCGAGATAATGTTATTGCAAACATCCCAGTTGCCCCCTTAAGCTGTTTTATAGGGAATCAGCTTGTGTTACTTGGAAACGCTCAGCCATTGCTGCCCTGGGCCGTGGTGTATGTCTGGATCAGATTAAACTCTGATGCTGTTCCCATCCTTATCAAATTGGAGAAACACATTTCCCTATAAAGCTGCCTGTCTTCTCCTGGAGACTCCACCGTCCAGTCACTCGTGAAGCTCTGCTGCTCGATGTACTTTTACTTTTAAATGATCCAAAGTGAACAGACTGCACCTGAGGGTGTCCGCTGAGGTGCATTCAGGTTCATGAGATGTACCTATCACCGAGTATGAGACGGAGGACAGGCTCCTATGACAAGGCCGTCAGTGTGAATGAGTGTGTGTGTCCGCAAAGACACCGCTCTGTACAGGCAGCGCCTCCGTTCAGTCATCTTTCTGTAGGACCTGAGGGTTTGTTGGCTGTTTGATTGTTTATACACGGGTCCCGCTGTAAATAGATGCCTCTTCTCACAAGGTCTGCTAATAATTAATGTGTTGGCTCAGCTGTTGACTGTAAACAAAAGAAATGTGTCTGGTTATACAGCGAAGTGTGTTTTTGCTCCTGAAAACAAATAATGTCTAAATGAAAACTATTTGCATATTTAGATTTAGTGACAAACAGAGACGATTAAAACAGGAGAGAAGCAGTGGAGTGAACCTGACTGGAACACAGTCATCTTTGCGGATGATGAATGTGTAGTGTTATCAGCCGAACACAGCGAGCGCCCGTTTGTGCGTCACTGATGATGCTTCCACCAAGGAAACATCTCCAGAGGTATTCCATTGAACTGCACTGTGTCATTTGATATGTATAATTAGTGGAACTCCAACATCATTATAAGATCCTTTCATACATTTGGCCCATCGAGGGTCGGCCTATGAAACCTAGTATTAAACAATCCTTTGTAGCATGGAGTTGTCGTTGGTGATGAGCAACCTATATTAAATCTCCTCTATGTGGGCCAGGTCAATTTAAAGACATATTTTTAGATTTTTAGCCACTGTTCATTCACCCTGTGGCAGAAGACGAATACTGTAGTTTTATCTTCAGATGCCATTGCTAAACCAAACCTCACTTGGCTCAGATATAGACCACAAATATTTTGTTACATTTTTATTGGTTGAATAAAACATTTAAATGTAAATAAGAAGTAAAAACTAGACAAAATGGTCAGATTTGTGCTAAAGAATATACAAGGATTTTATTTTAAATATAACTGATTTAACCAAGTAACAAATGTGTTTTCACTCTAACAAAGTAAAACAAAAAACAAAAAAAAAGAACAATGTCTTTTCTATTAACAGGAGGAGTGTGGCTAACTTTACTTTGCCCACAGGAAACAGTGAGAATTGTAATTTTTGTAAAAGTGGCTTTGGTAATTTTCCAAGACTTTTACAGTCAGGTTTTTTTTTAGTTCTTTTCCAGCTAAAACTAGAACCAAGCTAATGAAAAAACCCAAGCTTGAATAACGCCTCTTCTTTCCTAAATAATCCGAATGTTCTCTCTTAGTCACCTGGTCTGACATAATGAGTCTTCAGCTGCATCTGTCAAAACTCGTGAAAATATGCGGTGACAATCAGCGTCTAAGAACGACTGTCTTTTTGCTGATTCTTTCAAACATTTTTTTGGATTGTGAACTGATTCTTACCTGAAGGCCTCGATGATATAGGAGGTGACTGCAGCCCCACCCTCATGGGCGTTGGGTTGCCAGGTCAAAGAGACACTGTTCTTGGAGACGTCTGTCACTATAGGTTTGTGTGGAGGACCTGGCAGCTGGAACGGCTCTGTGGTCTGGGCAGTCGACGAGTCGGCACTCTCTGTGTGGTAGAGCAGGGTGGGGGTGGGGGGGGACAGGGAAAAAAGAAAAGGTGATGAGAGGGGGGAAACTCGATGACACTGAAATGTCTTCCTCTCGCAATAACACTGTCTAATGTACTGCACGTAATCGCACTTATGTTGATTTGCATCGCCCTCAGCGTCAGCTTCGGGCTCCACCCCTTCAGCCGCCATCACCATTCCACCCCTCTTGACAACCCTCAGACCCTAACTAACAATTATGACGCTAACAGTCAAATAACAAACCGAGGCGTCAACGGAGCAGCTTGTTAAATCATAACTCCTTCATCTATCGCCGCTAATGAAATCTCTTCTGCTGGAAACGTCCTGCGTGTTAATAGCTTTGGAGCGAATAAAAAGGGCAGAGCCTCACGGTACACAACACTTCCATTGCCTTAATCCACAGCGCAGTGTCTTATAGCACCTCGTAAGTAGCGGATAATGTGCAGTGAGCCGCTTCAGGGGTGATTCTCTGTATTCCCTATACACCGTGGTGCTACATCACACTGTTATGTTTCTTTGCCACAATAATAGCTGGTCCGCTGCACATTAACCCACTTACTAGGAGGGTACTTAGTTAAAAACCATACTTCATCACACCACTGCTCTTTTCTCATCTGCTATTTGTTGTAGGAAAGCGAGTGAAGGTCACAGAGAGGGTGAGGTTCTTCACTGTGGCAATAACATGGGCCAACAGATGTGTGCTTTGTATCACAAAAAAGACTTGATAATGTTAATACCTTTGGGAAGAAAAACAAAATAGCATGAATGTTTGAGAAGGAAAAGGATGGAACCACTATGAATGAATTACCATAAAAGAAAACACATTTTTAAGACACTTAGTGAAATGTAGGATTCCCTGAGGTGATAGCAGGGTTGTTACCTGTTTCAGTCTGTGGTATAAATGTTATAAAAAAAAGGCCAAAATTAATGAATGGTTGTGCAAGACAAGACAAAGACAAATCCGATCTGAATGATGAAGCGAGACAGGTACTTTTTTCCGCTGTTTCACAAAGTCCATCCAGTGGTGTGTCCACCAGCAGAGGTTGATGTACCTCATTACTGTCTCCATGTTTGATTGACCTCTGTTTGACTCTCACACAGGGGTGTTTCTTTTTTACTCACACTCCTACAGAGTGCCAATCACACACTGTGTAACCGGTGATGACGTCACAATAACCTACCGCTGATTAAAAAACTGTAAAGAAGTGCCAGACGGTGATAAAACTAATAAAAGCAAATATGAAATAGAAGGTTGATAATGTTCACGGTGCAGGTTTGGTTTAATCAATGTTTAAGGGTGGGGGGGCTGAAAGTGTGAGGGTTATATGTCTCGTCTATTATGCAGGACAAATCCACACAGCTGTCATTTGCATACATTTAAAATCACACAGAGACAATTTACCTTTGACTGTGAGCACTCCACTCCAACTCGTCTCTCCACTGGAACTCGACGCCAGGCAGGTGTAAACCCCGGAGTCCGTTTCCTGGCAACAGCAAAATGTGAATCATTAGTTTAGTGCGTGTGTGTGTTTGTGAGAGTGTGTGCCTGTGTGAGTGAGTGTGTGATACTATGTTAATGCACCAATTACCAGTAACCGAGACTAAATGTCATATCTCTGAAAGCAGAGTGTTTGTACTCAGAGTAGTGAGCAGAGCAAAGTAGCTTCAGATAAAAAGCTGACAGAATAGAGATATGCAAATCACATAGGACTGCCAGCCCCCGACCCCTCTCCATAAAACAGGTCTGATTTTATTTTATATTATTTTCTGTTAAAAGAAAGCTATTCCTCCCATAGGTGCCGATGTGATAAAAATGTGCATCTAAACTGCTATCAACTTTGTCTATCAGTTTTAATACACAGGGTGTTATCGGTCATATAGATGCACATAATAAAAGCAGAACGGCTACTGTATAAAAAAAGGAGAATACCAGAAGCTGGATAAAAAAAAAAAACAGAACTAAGAAAAGTCAGTTTTATACATCAATAAATAAATAAATATCCATATAAACAAATCTGTTACATTTACATTTCTGCTGGTGAAATTTTGTGAAAAGCCTCGGAGCATCACAGTGGGTCTCTCAGCAGACCTTCCCATACACTGTACTTTTCTTAGATGTAAATTACCCAGTTTTTTTTCGATGATAGGAGCAAAGTTTCTGATGCATGCATGGGTATTATAACATGATGATTACATTTTTAGTGCTCACACAGGTGGACTTTGAAGGGGCCTCGTGATAATATACAGGGATTTGCATTTTCATGACGTGAGCGTGAAGCTGTGCATGCTAACTACCTTTGCGTAGCTTCTCCCTCAAACACCAGTCGGTCAGGACTTAAAATGGTAACTGTGATTTGGACTGCGAAATAAAACGTAACGCTTCATTTCAATTTTCATAAATAATATTACATCTGTTCCACGCAGACAGATGTACCGACTGGATCTTTTTTAGTGAATACTAATATGTGTATCACCGCCTCACTCACACGTCTGTTTTAATTAACTGCTCCTCTTTGGTTTTATCAACTTTGGTCATCTCACTTCTTCCATAAATGATAAGCTCTCAGTGGACTTATTTGAGGTCAGAACCAAAGTCAAGTCTGCTTTTATGCTCCTCGACTGATTCCTACACAGCAGAGGAGGGGGAGATCAAAGGACAGAATTTTAATGACCGGCGAGCAGTCGAGAAACTACTAAGGCATCGGCCTTTATACTCAACAGCCACTTAGCATTCAGGACGGCCCATGAGCAGATGTAATTAAGAAGTGTGTGATTAATGGGCCTCGTTGTCATGTTGTGTGTGCGGTGTGTACGATGTAGGTTGGGCTTTCATGCGATTGCTGGCAATTAAAATTTTTGGGGATGTAAGCCAAAAGCTAGACGAGGCGTGGAATTGCTTACAACGGAAGGTGGTGTTAGGGGTCCCTACACTGGGGAACCCTCCAATGTGACATCCAGAAGGATGGACTGTCTTCCTCAACACTGCTGGTGACCAAGAGTTTTGAGTGTGTGATCTCAGAGAAGGAGACCTGATTTATATGCGATCAGTTCAGTGGCCTAAGCTGGCTTTAATCACACACAATGTAACATAGATTCACTGCATATCTGGCCAAACCTCCTGGAAGACGGGGAATGAACTCAGTGCTGTTTACATTTGTCTTCCGCTTTTAATTTCCAAGAGATTAAGCAAAGGAAGTGTTTTGGTGCCGCCTGCCAGTTAAAACAACAGCATCTGTTCTGTGCTGTAACTCTAACCCTGCTGTACAGTTGTATTCAACAAATTACGCTCGTGCTACAGAACTTGTCGAAGAGACGTGACGAAAACACAGATGTTTGGCTCGTACATGAAGATGTTCGGCACAATGACACTTTTTAGTTTTAATAAGGAAGTCTGTTTCATTTGTTTCCAGAGCCAGCCAACATGATTTGCCTAAGGCCTATAATCAACCAGATACTGCAGCGCGCAGACGACTGAACACAAAGACGTAGACAAGATGTTGCCTTGATTTTAGTTTCTGAAATTGCACGGTCAGGTAAAAAACTACTCAAACAGTCATTGGTATCAATTGATCTTTGTCTTGACAAAGATGTGACAATAATGCTATGTTTGAATGTGGTTGTATTCAGTGTACACCCCAATACATGGGATGTTGTTCAATTTTGACTGGAAATAGCTCCTAGAAAATGTTGTTGTAACTGTCATTTGGTTTTAATCCACTTCCTGTCATTCACTGCCTTTTTTTCTGTGCCAAAAGTCACAGTGTTAATGAGGTTTTTTAGGAGAAAGTGTCCATTTCTCCTAATCTGTTTTCCTCTTTCACCTGCGGGCGATGGAAAGAATGCAGAAGGACACAATGTGTGTGCTCCGGTGAATAGATGAAACATTTGATTTTGTTTTCTCTTCTTTGAAATAAATAATGCAAGGATCAAGGTTCTGCGATGCCAGTTCACACTGCCGTGTTTACTATGCAGGAACAGAACAACAGGTAAAAGAACCTGCTGTAAAAAGCTTTAGTGTGAAAATTGTTGTTGTGATTGTACAGTTCAGAATATGTATGTATGTATGTATGTGTGTATGTGTGTGTGTGTGTGTGTGTATGTATGTGTGGGTGGGTGTTTTCTTGGGTTTCTTTTTGCTGCAAGTTGTCTGAGTCGGCTGTAGTCTATCAATTTAGATGCAGTTCACCAAAAACACAATCACCCTTTAACTTACTCACTTATTCTGCAAGCACAGCCCATACTGCTCCCATTGAAAACCTTATACATTATGCAGAAGATATGCACAGCACAGCCTATTGTGACTAATGCCTCGGTGAGCGCTGTACTCAGCCATTCTGCTCTCTTACATCTGTGGGCCGGCTCATCAGTAACGCTGACAGAGGAATTATTCAGACCTAAGTGGCTTGTCAGAACGTCCTGTTGGACCTGGGACAGGTGACTCTCCGGCCTATACAACACGGCTCCTCCTCCTCTCTTTCTATAGGCCCTGACCTTGTGCCGACCTAAGGCTTGGCTCATCGTGCGTCTGTCTGCGTGGTCCCCAGATGGTAGCGTTTGATCAGTGTGCAGAGAATCAGTGTGCAGAACGGGTGGGGTAAACAGCCGCGACACCTGACTATTAATCAAGGCCAGCAGCTCTGGGCACTGTGTGAAACAGATTGCTGAAAAATGGATGAGGAGGAGAGAAGGGAGGCAGGAGAAGAGCTCCAAACTGAAGCAGGAAGGTGTGAATATTTATCGTATTCTTGACTAAATCTTTGGCTACAATACTACAGACAATGAACGCCACTGGATTTCTGCTGCCACTGTATGTTACAAGGCCTGTTTCTGTTACTAGTTTCAGGTGCAAGAACAATACAAATGTCCACAAATCTGTGTTCTTCCTGTTCACTTCAATGAGCCATGTCGTGTCTTTATGACACGTCCTATGGTGGCTTCAGGAAAACAAGCAGCATCACAGCAGCACATTAGTGGCCATCTTACAATATGTTACCAGACGGTGGATCCTACTGCAGTGCAGTAAAGGAGTCCCTTCATGATACTTCTCATTCGTGGAACTGTCGCCCCCCCTTAATTCTCCCACACAGTCAGACCTGGCCTCATCGTTGGAGTGACTCCCCCCAGCTCTGGAGCCTGTTGTAATTCTAAATCGCTGCTGTTCATGGAGGAATTTTCTGTCCTCTGTCAAACAATGGCCCACTGCTGGAGGACATCTATAGGACTAGATCTTGTTTTGTTTTGTAAACAGCTCTTGTAGATCAGGAAGAGCTTTGTTGGAGATCCCTAGATCTAAAATCATTGCTATAGCTTTACGCCAATTCTTAACCTTGCGATTTGCGCAAACAGCCGCGACTTGCTTACGCCCACATCAACCGTTTAGCAGACTCTCCTTAACCCCCTGCCAACACACACACTTCCCGTCTGTCCAGGATGTCTTGGCATGGGTGAGGGACAACGGTATGGTGTGTGTGTGTGTGTGTGTGTGTGTGTGTGTTTGGCACAGATCCCAGGGTAATGGCATCTACTCATTGCCAGAGTTTGAGGAACAAACAGACCATCTGTCCTCTCCAGGGGCCCAGATGAGATCGACTTATTTATACTGATTATTTCAGGGTTAAGTGTGATTTATGAATGCTGACTTTATCTCAGTTCGATGCGTTTCAGGCTTTCTTCATATTTCATCTTTTCAAAATAAATTATAGCAGAGTTTTAACTTATTTGCTTCACAGTTTCCTGAAGTAAATTTATGGGTCAGCTATTCCGTGAGGCTGGAAAAAAAACCAATGAAAGTCATTGAATAAATACCTCAATATATATAAACTTTATTAAAATGTTCCAATTTGGGAGTTGTTTTCAGATTGTCACGCCTGTTCTATGAGTTCAATAAGAACCTGAAAATTCTGGGATTTTTGGGTTTTTCTGGTCAATGTTCTGTTTAACAGGTTCACCATCATTGAATATACATGGCCAACATGATGGTTTAGTCCTGCAGCATGAAGGAAACTGGTTCCAATCCCTACAAGGCTTTTTTAAAATTAGATTTCTGTTTTTTTTTTTTTTTTACTACTGCAGCTTTCCACAGGCTAAAGACATCCAAATTGGGGATTAGGTTAACTGGGGACAAATGACTGGTGAATGAATGAATGAATGAATGAATGAATGTACAAAATGTGAGCAGAATTGGTTGGCTGTCTGTATGCTGGTCCTGTGATAGGCTAGTGACCTGTCCAGGTTGTATTATGCCTTGATGGTTGAAGAGTTGACATTTTATTCTAACAAAAGTTCAGTCTAAATGACTGCAGCTTTAGTTACTTTTTTTATTATTCCACAACAATACAGTTTCTAATAGATTGCTCAATTAATTCTGTAACACAAGTATCTGTGTCTCTCCTTTGCCGTTGGGCTGAAAACCTGACTCTGCTTTTTTATTGGACTTGCAGCTAAGAGACGTGTTTGCACCCTTTGGACCTCAGCAGCCATTACACCTACTGAGAACCAGGGCTGGATTATATTTCAGTTCTTTTACTCACGGGGCACGAGGTGAAATTATCTTGTTAAACACAACAACAGGAGCTGAGGGTACTTCACTCTGACCAAGTCTGCACGAGGAGCAACATCACAGAGCTTTGACAACATATTAGTTCCTTTTAAGTTTGCTGTTTGCTTTAGGCCTCTGAAATCACTGCATGTCACTGCAGTCAGCACGGAGAGAGCACTGACGGTCACTGTGCGCCGCTCACTCCAACTGCACAAAGTCAACAAAAAACTTCCAACGTGGTGTTTGACACTTTAAAATAAGCTCTGAAGCATTAACACTTCCACGTAGGAGCTCTCGGTCGTCAAGTCACTCCCTTTTCATTCCCACATGACATGAATGAAGCACAGAGCCACAGTCTGAGAGGCAACCGTTTCAGCTTTCATTCTCCTCTCTCTCCCAGCTCCAGCTCTTCAATCTCTTTGACTCTCCATCATTCATCCAGTCCTCACTTGCACTGATGTATTGAGAATTTAATTACAAGTCTCAGCGATCGTTAATCATTGAGAACCAACCATCAGTTAATGTGTGAGGCCACCACCAGCCTCTCTGAGGCAGCACTGACATCAGGTGCTGCTTCATGCCCAGAAGGGAATTGTGGGCAGAGTGGATTTCATTAGCATTGAGTAAGACTGCGCTAACGACTACTAATGGCTTTGTATGCTCATTATCATGGTGATCACGCCTTGCCAATGCTATTTTGCTCCATTATTCTCCACCTCTATTCTTCTCATAAAAACTCATTATTTGAGTCAACCATAAAAATGTCCTCTGTTTAAGTGCCTGCTGTTCCTCTGTTAGTCCAAATCCTTATTTTATCTCATGTTTATCTCTGGAGAATTTCATCACATTTTGATGTGCTAATAATGCACAATGCATATTTTGAATTAATTTTAACAAGTCGGTTGAGAGAGGTATGGAGTGAAGAAAAGACTTCACTCAAAAGTAGGAAGACTGACACATTAGGTTTCACTCAGTTGAAGGTCATTCAATTAAAGCTTTGAATTTAAAAGGTAGGAAAACAAAGTAAAATGCATCATTAACACTGGTATTCTTCAAATAAAGGTTTCTGTACCTGAAGGTTGGTGATTTGGAAGGTGCCGTTCTCCATCAAACTGATGCGTCCATCATTTCCCAGGATTCTCTGGCCATCCTTTTCCCATTGGATGCTTGGGATGGGGTTGCCCATGATGTGACAGTGTAACTGAGCAGTGGAGCCCGGAGCTAACGTGTGGTTGGCGGGTCCTTGGCGGATGATGGGAGGCACACGGTCTGAAGGTGCTGCAAGGAAGTAAACAAAGTCAGGTTTGACTGGGTTTTCAGAAAGTAGTGAAACATTCCTCCATATACAGTTTATCTGGTGATTAATTTAGAAAGTATATTCTTTGTTTCACAAAGTGGCCCTGAAAACACTAACAATTCCCATAGTCTTCCTACTTTTTTCCATCCATTTTAACAATGACTCTGTTTAATGCCATTCCTTGTAGAGAAATTAGATTATCTACCCATGCAGTAATAAAATAAACTGAAATCATTAAATGTCAACCTGATTTTAATACATTAGCATTTGGCCATAATTGTCCTGTAAGGCTGAAGTTAATACAAAAGGGACCCAACTGTAATTGGCGGTGTGGTCTTTTGGCATTTGCCTGTAAAACCATTATCATATACCGCTGAGTGAAGAGGAAAATGTCAAAGACAGAGAACACAGTTCTCGGAGGCTCTCAGGTCAGCGTCTCTCTGCTCCTGCCCTAATTCTACATGCAAATTGATGACATAGATTTTTCTCAGGCAGCGATAAGTTGATGCACTTACTTTCTGTCAGTGATGGAGCACTTGACAAAGGCTGTCAATTAAGATGTAACTTTTTTTACTGCACTCAAAAATGTCTTTTTTTCTATTTAACAAAGACTGCACTTCTGAATAAGTGACATCTCATATAAAACCCTTTTCATGGACCATTAAATATTAACAGAACTTCATTTTAAACTTTCCTGGGCTACTGTTAAAGGCACTTTTTATGATTCCTATCTGCCAAAAACAGACAGTTTTAGAGCTCAGTGTTTAGCTGGATGACGAACCCAGACGCTCAGTCCGAGACATTTAGAGACAAGCAGCTAACCCTAACCTACTTTTCTTTTATAATATATAATTTTATGCAATATTTAATAATTAACATATTATAAAAGCTGCACTTAATTCCTGACCCTCAGATGATCTATAACATTCAAGGGAGTGCAGGTCTGAACGTAACATCGTGCAGTGTTTTCATGTTTATTAAAATACAAATCCCTTCTAAAACACTGTCTGAGAGTTCACGTCAACATGGTTTCTTCAACTCGTGAAATGTTCTAAGGAATGAATAAATGCTGAGTGCTTTGTTTACATCAGTGCAAACAAAGAGCTTTACATCAGTGGAACAAGAAGAAGATCGAACACCTTTTAAAACCATACACATCTGCGGTGGAGGCCCAGCTGCGGCTGACGGACGGAGACGTGTCCAATAAATAAACGTTGCGCTGCCATCTGACCCTCAGCATCAGCTAGAAGCTCATGGACTTATAAGGCTGTGCTGCACATCTGCATGTCTGACAGTTTAATCTGCAACGTAAACACCATGGTACGAATGTTGCCAGCTGAAAGAGTTATGCTGAGACTGGAGTCAAACAAACCCTTAATAAGAGGACTTGGAAAGAGCGGAGGATTACAGAGAACATGAGCTCATTTTTACTCTTTTTTCGTCCGTTTTGCTATGTTCTTTACCACAAAGCTAGACCACGTCACCTGGTTCACAGCGAGACATTTCCCTGCAGGCACGGAGCACGGTCTCACTCGTATTGTGTGTTGTTGAAAGCTGTGATAAGGCCATAATAATGAAAAGGTAACTAAAAATGTGAAAGAGTCAACACAGGCGTTAGGAGGAAACAGCTGAACAAAAGCTGTGTTTGCTCCTCGGAGTGGGGGTGCGGAGCATATGCCGAGGCAGGGTTATTTGCATAGAGTCATCAACAGTTGTCCCTTTTTATTACATCAGATAAGAACTCAAGCTGTTGGCTGGATCTGAGAGGAGGATATTATGATTTGGGAGAGATTTGGGGGATTTGGTAATAAAAAATATTGGTGCACATGTTGGGGGAGGGGTCGGGGAGGCGTAAATCAGCAGATTGTGTGGAGTAATTAATTAAATATGAGGCGCAGGATGTCGCATCGGACGACTGGCAGCAGGAGTCGCATGGATTTAGACAGTATTTTATTTTAAAACACCACCGTGGGAAAGATATGTCTTGAGATATAGTTACTTTACAGAGTCTGCAGGAGAAAGATTCACAGTTTATTTTCAGCATTAGGGACATTAAATATTTAACAGGTGGGTAATGTAGAAAAAAAAGTTTTTTCCTGAAACATTGTAAAGAAACAGTTCCATTAAAAATGACTGATGTTTTTCTCTGTGCTGTAGGGACTATAGCATCAACCAGTGATTAATTTACACTTTGTGAAAGAAAATACTTCACCTCACCATTCATACCCAAATAGAAAGGGTTATTCAATCATTATCTAACATTTTTCATATTTATTTTCATTATGAGCTGAGCCAAAACTGTAGACGCATTAAAAGGTGCCCTCAGCTGACCCTTTTTTAAAATGTCCTGTCTCTGATTGGTCATTTATCCTGAGGAACTTTGAACTGTGTGGAAAACAAAATGATTGAAATATTAGTTACTTATAAATGGAAGGATGTATTGTTAGAGATTATACTACAAAGGCTCATTTGTTCCACTGTTAAACCATCAGTTTTAAAAGGCAGCTCCAGTATGGGCTGAACCTTCAGAAGTCTGCATCATTGTTTTCCCTGCTGAAGCGGTTCTAAAACACATGTTTAAAAGTAGAACAAGTGCTGTGGTTGAACTTGGTGGAGAGTTGTGTTGGTGTAACCTCAATGACTCTGCTGGAGAGGTAATTTTAGCAACATACAACGCAACACACATACACAACATAACCTCAGTGTATAACATATATAACTCCCATTGTAGAAGTCAACAGTAGGATTTCATTTTCAAGGAAACTGAATTTAGACCATGAGCAACAGAGTCTATTTTCATTCTCCATACTGCAGACCACAACAGCTTCAACCCTTCAAGTCCTTTCCGCATTAAGTATAATCAGGACTGTGTCATTTTAAACCTTACCTACCAGTTTGTGTGCGCGTGTGTGTATGTCTTCCTGCCAGGACATTGTTTTTGTTTTTTAGAACATGCTATTGCTGTGCTGACTTACTGAGTTTACATTAACAATACAATTTTTTTTTTTTTTACAAATATTTTTACAAAACCAAAGATCTGCGTTAGGTAATGTCTGTGAGTGTGTGTCTTAACTCACCACTTTCCACCTCCAGCAGAGCTTTAGTCAGGATGCTGCCAGCAACATTAATGGCCTGGCAGATGTAATATCCAGAGTCTTTGACTTGGACGTCGACGATGGTCAGCTCACCGCTCAGTGACACGGAAAAACGACCCGACTGTGAAGGTTCCTGAGTTGGAAATAACAACATCTAGAGGAGAAGGAAGACACGGCACGGCAATTAGTGTGTGTTAAACTACGACATCATGTTGTGTAGCTTCAGCTATTCTGTTTCTGTCACACTAAATATCAGATGTGTTTGAAAAGGTACATGAACTCATATAGCAATCATTGTTGTGGTTCTGTGATTTATTTTTTGAAGTCTGGAAACTGGCACTAATGGTGTTATAATTAGTTCATTTGCCTTTATGTATTGAAATACACTGCACTACTTCAAAACTACTGACACTTTCATCAGGATACATACAAATACCTGATAAAGTCTCATCCCTTTATACTTGTAATGTTCAGCCTAAACTTATTTCTTTGTTCTTGAGTATCTATGGAGCTGTACTGTGTTTGTTTACAAGGAGTGTATCGGTTTCTACTTCTCAAAGTTAGTGTTTGAGTGTTCCCCAGTGACAATTACGCTGGAATACAGACACAAGGACATTTATACAGCAATACAAACACAATCAATAATGACTTGTGGTGCAGAGGATGTTAGAAGAGCAGCACAGAGACTGTACTGAAAAGACGGCGGAACCACAAATATAAGGACAACTCTTGGTTGGAAGCAAAACGAGAAAAGTGAATCTTTGTCCTTTTGCCTGTGTAAATTAACATTTAAATCAGGAATACACTGTACAGAGCCTCCAATAACACGTTTGGCTGCCAAGCAGATCCTCAGTTATGCAGTATCCTTGTCCAAAGGCACTTAAAGTTTACAGTGTGGGCTACTGCTAACCGTGTGCTCATCATAACAGCAGCAGTATTACTCAAGTTCATCAGCAGGCGTGATGCGACTCGCACCGTCTCACCTGATCATTTACAAGCAGCTTTTACTTTACACAGAAAAAACATGACACCAAAGGGATGGTTCTCACTTCCTGTTTCAACTGTTGCTATAAAATAACTGTACGTTTTTCTGATACACCGCCGCCATTCCCAAAAAGCTCCCCGCATCGTCCTCCCCTGTCTGTGTCCATGCTTTTTCCTCTTTATCTCACTCCTCCACACTCTTGTTCTTCTGCACCCACACACAAGCGCGCACACACACATTCTCCAGGCCTCCCCCAATCCCACTCTCCTCCCTCTATAATCGGTACCTGGGAGCCAGGCTGCAGGCACCCACGCACCCTGGTTCTCCTTTCAGCGCATTCCAACAGGCTGCCGCGCTTATCACACACTCACCTTCTCAACACACACATCACACAAACAAACGCACAGACGTGTGGGTGTGTGTTGTGCGTATGATTCAGTCTGACATTAACAACAGCAGGCAGAGGTAAGAGGAATGACAGTGAGAGGAGTTGGGGAAGACACAGTGATGAAGACACAGTGATGAAGACACAGTGATGGAGACACAGTGATGACACGGGGATGAAGACAATTGTAAAAAAAAATACTCATACAGTATACAGCATTAGACTGTATACTGAGGCAGCCTAATGCTAATGCTAATTAAATAGAGAGCCATTCAGCGATGGAGGACTCTTTCTTATTAAAATCTCTACTAAGGATAAACGATAAAAAATGTTTTTCATAATTTTGTTGTGATTTGAATTTAACTTAATAATTAACTATTTATTATTTCAACTTAACAAAAAAAAAAGCATTAAAACATGCATAAACAAAGGAGAACTTGGTACCACAGACAGTTTCTGAAAGTTTCTCACCTGACTGCCTTCTTTCTGCCAGAATACAGCAGGTGGAGGGTTTCCCTTGGTGCTACAGAGGAAGGTGACCGTTCGACCCGGGGCTGTAATCTGGTCCCGTGGCCGGATTACGATCTGTGGAGCCACTGCAGAACAGAACACGTAAGAAGACACGGTTAACAAGTCAGAGTGAAAATCAAAGCTTGTACTGTGTCAGCCATCTATGAATATCTGTGCACTAACGGTATTAACAAGATATGAGATTCCTGCTCATGATCATGCGTTCCCATGCATTATATTGGATTTAAACCTCCTGAACACAGGTGCCAACACTGCCCACTGCTTTCTTGGCCTCACAGACTTTAACATATTGCTGTTCCTCCGGCTGTAGCTACATCTGAGAAATGCAACGCAAAGGTCACAGATGGTTGAAATGTTAAGACAATTCCATAGATATTATGTGCCCATGAGCAGTGACAAAAATAGAAACGACTCGACTTCATACTGTTAAATAACACCGTTAATTAGACCAGTAATTGTGGTTGTGAGAACTTGTTATTAGTTGCCAGAGAAGTGAATAAATCTGAGCTCCATTCTCCATGTTCAAACTCAGGAATCCAGACCAAAGAGTCCTGATTAAACAACCAGTGGGTATACTTTCATAAAGTGGTGACCCTGCTGTGCCAGAGCAAAATAAAATCACAATGATATTAATTAGTAACATTTTACTTAACATTGTCATTTTCAATTCACACACAATAGACCATAATTGTTGCTCGGCGCTTTAAGGTCACACAGCAAAGAGATATAATCAGTAACTCCAAAGTCTGGAACTGAGATAATTAAACCGCTCCCTCGGGTGGCACTTTAGAGTCCATCAGTTTGAACACCCTTTCAATTTTTGGGCACTTTTATTTTATATTTTTATCTGGACCAGGACTGGAACATATTAATGCAGTATTCTGTGAGGAGATTTTCAAAAGAGAAACAAGTGAGATGACAAATTAAAATCTTCCATACTTGGATCTGGATACCTTTAGTAGGTTTTATATAGTGATTGGCTGCTGTGTCTCTCAATGATATTGTGCAGCATTGGGGATGACATGAACTACACTCCAGAACGCACACTTGTTTGTATTGGGGGACTCTGCCTCAGGCCAGAACCTGGAGAGCAATAAAACACTACAGGATGACTTTCTATATTAGTGATGTAAAATCATTCATTCTGTCTAAAGAGCTTAGAGTGCACAGCCCAAATCCAATCCCAAAGTACGGCACTGATCTGTTGTTCATTTATATTTCATTATTTAAAACAACAGTTAGTCTTTAGAGTGTTGGGATGTGGCTAAACATGTGCAGCATTGCTTGTTTGGGTCAAACTTATTGTTGTTGTCGCTTTTAACACCAGTGTGGACCAAAGGGAGGGAGAGAGACCGTGAAAGAAGGAGAGTGGGCAATGACGGCGCACTGATAACAAAACCAAATGGAAAATAAAAAAATAAAAAACGGGGGAAACAGAGCTTGACTGTGGCACTCGCTCCCCAGTCAACAAGTCCACGGAAGACAAGCTTTTCCTTTTGGCCTCTTATGTTTTAATTAATGAGTCAATTTAAATACAAAGAACTGAACAAAGACTGCTGTTGTTTCTGTCACCACCGTTCCACTCTGTTTACAAGAACACAGGTCTATTCAGAAAAGAAAATGCTAGATTCAGGCTACGTACATATTTCTGCTGCTTATTTTGTGTTTGAATTAAAAACTGTTCTGATTCTTATCTGAATTATTTCATGAAAATATATCCATAACATAATCAGTTCAGGTATCCTGGAGATGTTTGTGAACAAAATTGCAAGGACGTCGTCTCGTGAGCTAAAAATGGTTTGTTCTGACAACCAGACCTGGTTCCATTGGTCTAGTGGTTGGGGCACGTAACACTCAATATCCAGATCAAAAAACCTATAAAAAAGGTCAACGCAGATCCCAGAGGAACATGGACTCTGGGTTGTGGTTCACCCTTTCTGATCCTCAGTACAATGCTAATCAGATGTGTCTGAACGACCCATCATCTGTCGGGGCGGGATAGTGGGGGAAGGGCTTCAAATAACATGGTGAGTGAACCCATTTTTGGCCATTCTCTATCTCTTGTGGCCAGTGGGACTGACTGACACACACACACACACACACACACACACGTTTAATTTATATTGATTCTGTTGTGGGTAACAGGCCTTCCTCCACACAGGGAGGGGGTGTGAATGCATCATATGCCTTCCACCAGTCCTACGGTAATTGATTTCTCATCTTCCCACCTGATAACCAGTCCTAATTGATTTCTCATCTTCCCACCTGATCTCCCTCCTGCCTTTCATTCTAGGCTTAGATGAGCAGTGAGAAAAACCGAGAGAAAAAAAGAACCGCTGTAGAGAACAGGCATAAAAAGATGAAAGCACCAAGTTGATGCATAAATAATTAGGACTGAAACTCCAACCATAACATGTTGCATAAATATTTAACCACATATTGTAACATTAGTTGTGTTTGTCATCCCGCAGAGATGACATGATTGAGGATAGATGAGCCTGGAAGCCAAGATGAAAAAATTGGGTCCAGTCAGCCATGAAGTGGATGAAAATCAAGCAAATCTTCTCTGATGTTAAATGTTGGTGCTGGGTCCGTCAGGGGAGTGCACATCCCTGACTGTCCAATCGGCAATGATTGCCTGCTTCTTGTAATCACTTATTTCTGATGCATGTGCACACTGAATATCAATCCATCTCTTCCCTGGGGAAGCACTGAACTATTTCCTATTGTAGTGACTTCTTTCAACACAGGGCCAATCACACAACACGAGACAATCTGTTTGTGTTTACTCCAGGGAGAAGCTGAGCGGAAAGAGCATTGTCCTCATGTCCATCCTCCATCCATCCTCTGCCCCCAAAGGTCATTTATATTTTGACACCTGTACTCTTCCCTTGGTTTTAGTTAAATTTCTATGAAGAACCACTAAGTGGAATTGAACCTTGAACCTTCTGATTTTGAGTTTCCAAAATCATTCTTTCCAGGGATACATTCTCTTCAATCTTAGATTGAAATTCCTCTGGGGCGCCAGTATAATCCACACTGATGCATTAATAAGCAGACTTCAGACAAGTATTCCAGACAAAACTGAAGTCTGAAGAATTGGTTTCAGACATTTCCCACATGTTTGGTCAGGATCCACTATCACCAGAAATTATTTGACTAAGCAAAAGAATTTGCATTTCATATTTCTGCGAAAAAGGAGGATTTAGGAAAAATCTAACTTTAGATATGTTTTTGTCAAATATCGCTAATCAAATAATAGGAGTTGTTTTCAAACTGGATGTACTAAGGATTTATTTATAATGCACCATTTGGTTTTGGTTTTTTAAATTTGGGTCAAGAAAGACATTAGGAGAATTTGGGTAGAGATGATGTAGTGTATGTCAAATTGATAACATCTGCCATTATCCGAAGTCATTCTGTGTATAAAAGATGCACGCATTATTCATTTTACAAAATTCTATGCATAGTTTGGAAACATAAAGTGTCAAAATGCAAATTTTTTCTAGAGACAATTTTGGGCCAAAGGACCAGAGCATCTCCTCTCCCACCTCAAGGACAAGCTGACGCAAGCCTGAAAAGTTAATGAAACGCAGTCTAACACTGCGTTATGTAATGCTACACATCCACACATACAGTCCATACAGAAGAAAACCTGCTGTATCATGATGTGCTGCAAACAAGCAGTGTGACAAAAACATGTCATCACTTCCCCCCATGTGTCTGATGCAACGTCACAACTTTGACCCAAATACTGTGACAGGTAGAACGATTCGGGCCATTAAAATGTCCTGTCTGTGCACCACTCATCCCTGTCTGGAGAATAACTGTGTTCGATCTGAGGAGGACGGTCGGCGCTTTGCCTGAGGCTGTAATAAATAATTAGTGATACGAGGTGCATTAGCCGTGACTCTGAGCTGTAGATTCAGAATGAGAGGATTCAAGCATATTCACCAGGGATGAAAGACGGATTATTGTTATAACCACACAGATGAATTATACACGACAAAAATTAGCAAAGATAACGCGCCTCCGTGAAGTTAGTGCTTCCACTGCAGGCTGCTGCGGCAGTTTAGATTCACGGCTGCTGACTTTGTCAAATTCATAAATGAATAGATGGAACATGACCTCGTCTATCAAATGTTCACTTTGCGGTTCCACAAAGACACACAGCCGTGCCGCTAGAAGTGACTGCACATAGAGTGATAACTGCAGGAGGCGGTGTCATTGAGTCAGATGTCTAAATAAAGAATGAAGCCCTCGAGATAGGAATTCAAAGGCGTCTGGAGACTTCTTTTATATGCTGCATATTATCAGAGTCGGAGAACAAGTAACAGCCTACAAGCCAAGAGGAAGGCAAATATAGCACCGCAAGTTCAATTTCCACTGTTTTTAGATAGGAACAGAGTAAGGGAACACAGGCCTGTGTGTGAAATACAGAAATCATTTTTCCAAATATTTAATAAATATGTTTTTGTCACAGAAATAATTTTTCCAAATATTTAATAAATATGTTTCCTTGTGCTGTAGGATTGAGCTACAATTACTAGTCAACTGGATCTTTTTAATCAACTAGTGGCACGTTGCTTTCATACTGTTAGCATTAAGCTTTTTCCAACATGTTAGTTGTTAGCAAGTTAGCAAGCACCAAGCAATCAATCTGTTGTTTGCCTTGCTATGTACTGCATATTGAAGACAAATACACTTGCACTACTATGTATTCATGTATTTTATTTCAGTTAGTGTGGTATTACTGTGATATTTCTGCTACCTCTGGGTGAAGGCCATAGCAGAGAGATAATACAACAACGCTAGCAACCAAGCTCATTGTATTCATCTTGGTTTGTTCTATGGTTGGTATTTGTTCTGTGGGTTGAGAAGCATTAGCCATGCACAAGAGTATACCAGGAATTTTAGTGATGCATTTGCTTAACTGCTGTAAAGCAAAGCCAGTGTTAGTGTTCACACACTGCTTAATCTAAAAGTGGTTTGTATAGTTCTTGCCCTTTTGTGTATATTTATAACACACTTTATGTATATTATGGGCTACATGACTCCTGAAGCTTTCAGGATAAACAGTCAGCGAATATTAGGAATGGTGCAGTGTTTTACTGTCTGCTGGCAGAGATGCTAATGCTGCTTTGCTCAGGTTGGGAAAGGAACATTTTCCTCAAACTAAAGCTGACAAATGTTTAGCGCAGTTCAGTTGTTTATCTCACTGCGCTCCAAATCACGCAAATCTGAGTGTGTGATTTACCCTAACGCTATCATGCGAATCTCAGCATGTGGCTCAGTCACACTGCAAAGGCAAACAATCATCGGATATACTCCGGTGCCCCACCCACATGTTTGACATGTGATTTGAACCAACATACTGAAGCTATCACACACACACGGAGTCGTACAGACACACACCGTCACAGCAGGAGTTCCTCAGGGACCTGGATGTGACAGGCAGCTGTCACAGTCCCACGCTGACGCAGACGGCGTGCCTCACAAGCGTACGCTTGAGTAAACACACTCTCACACTTCCCCTGCTACCACTGCAGCACAAGTCCTACCATTCATCCTCCCCCTCTCTATCTGCGCCTTCAACACATTCTTTCTAAACTGTTTCCATTCTGAAACGATAATTAAAGAGGTGGTTATTTTATTTCCTAAGCATAACCGTAATTCATTTAAGCCTTTATTTAATTTGGAGTTGGCCCTTTGGGCCCAGAACCACAGCTGGCTCGTCCAACGTCAATATATCAGTTGGAGGTCTGGAATGGCTTTAAATATCCCAGGCATAAGTTATAAAAACAGCACTGTTTATGAAGTCAGAGAAGATTTGTGCCAGACCAAGAATTCTAACCTTCCCACAGGGCACATAAAAAAGAAAGGCAAGAAAAACTAGGATGGTAATCATGCCTGCCGTACATCAATTCAACTGTACTTCTCAAAAATCTGAATGTGCTGATGTATTTTTCATGCACTGATAACCTTCATCTGTCCCCACTGTTCCCTGAAGCAGACCTCACCAGCACAGTGGAAACAACTACAAACCAGGTCTTCTCCACGTTCAACAGTGCTTCTAGCTTCATTACCAGTTGTTTTTGTGTCTGATTGACGTTGCTGTCCGAGGGACAAGACATTAATGTGGTACCAAATGGCTTTGGTCAAGTATTGAGTTTTTGGACTGGCGACATTAGCCTCTGATTCCCTCCTGCTGGCAGTGATATTGCTTTGCCTTAGTCTAATTGTCCTCATTGTATTCCGGCCTTGTCAGCTTTGATTTGTTTTCCATGACCATCTAAATGTAGTCACCGTCAATTACCGAGTAACGCCTTGCTCTATTTTTACCCAATTTACTCGCCATTACATTTGTACATTCATTCAAAAATAACAGTTGCAAATTACATATTAATATTAATAATTGAAACTCAGTTAATTTTCAAAAATGTAATACAATGTTAAATTGGCTCATTTTACCTTGTCTAAAACATAATTGAGTCTGGTAAAAAACAAAATCTAGAAGTTCCCTTTTATGTTAAATAATAATTCATTTATAAACACTAGCCTTTACCATCAGCTAAAAGTAATTAAGGCTGGGCTCTTTTTTTCCATGACACATGTTTAAAAAAATAAATGTCAACAAATGACAGTTTACATGATACTGAAAACAGTGTTATGTTGCAGCTTCACCATTTTCATAGGGAAATAGATCAAGATTTTGTATTTAGACAAAACCAATGAAACCATACTTCCCATCATTTCCTGACATCCCATCATAATAATCAACCATCACTCACAGTCCCTACAACTCCTGTAGTTTTTCATTTGTGCAACATCTGACAAAGACACGCATTCTCAGCTACCTGCTGGAAGATGTGCTGGTAATGATTTCCTAAGAAAGCTGTAGAAAATGGTAAGATGTCTGTTTAAATAACATTAATAATACTGTGTTTTTATTTTTTCATACCCTGCCTTTGTTTTGAATAAATGAACACGTGGAAATTATTCTCATTATTTCCGTCCAAACAATACCACTGTGTTAGTGGAGGGTGTCTCTGCAGGAGGAGAAACACTTAAATGACTTGTTTTTCATTCTAGGAACAAAGCGAGGGAGAAAATTAAATTTTCAGAGGATGTTTGATTAATCAGTGTATAACTGCAGCGCTGCTGTGTTCTTGTGATTTGTTTTACAATGCTGGACGTATCCGGGGCCTTTTGTACTTAAATTGCTCCATGTATTATTTTTATGTACTGGATTGAAAGTCCTTTGTTGGTATGGCACGGTGTGGAAGCTTTTTCTTTGAAGTAATGGATGCTAGATGAGCCATAAAACATGAGTGGAGTGATGTTGAGAAAAAAAAACCCAACAGCTCACTCCCAACAATTTCAGCAGCACTTAAATACTAATTGTCCGTCTACTACTAGAATTATTAGACCAGTGTGGTAGCATGGATGTCGGCTCCAACATGGCAGCGATAAAGGGTGAGTTCAGGGTGGAAACATCATGTGAAAACATAAAGTGAATCAATGTCTCGTTGTTCTGTCTGCAGTCAAAGTGCCGAGGGCGTAACTATTTATATCACTGTCTGTACTGAAGTACATTTCAACAATAAAATAAGCTGATCTACGTCATGAATGTTCTTTATATGTCGGTTAAAGCTCTCACCATAATCCCATTTGAAGGCACAACATAAAAATTGACTTGCTCATTAGCGTGTTTGGAAGTGAAATTGTGACACAAATAGAACACACAGCAAACTTCTCATTCCCATTTGAACAGCGGTTCCCAAAGAGGAGTCCAAGAATACCAGGAGCCCACAACCAATAACATGGCAGACCGCAGAATACACAGCAACACAACATAAAACAACACTTCCTAAGGCAAAGGGATAAAACAGAAGCTATAAAGACTACTGGATTCTTAGAGGACTGAGATGGACGGCCATTTGTACAGATGGTGCGGTTGTGATTATGGGCTGCAAGACTGGGGATACATTTTTGCTGAGTTTTAATGACGCAGACAAGCCCCCGAGTAACAGTAAGAATTTGCTTGTTCAGAATCTGGATTTTGACGGGGGTCTTTGGAAAATATTTCTCCACATTAAATTGTCCCTGGATACAAACGTAGCTACCCTGGTATTAGAAAAAAAATGACATTTACTGCCAACCAAAGCTGTGGCTGCTAATGTGGAAATAATACAGCTTACATAAGGCTGGTATATATAGGAGCTATAAAATATGCACCTATGCCATCTCTCATGTGGATTAGGTCTCTTTTAGACAGGCACGCACCAACACACACACTCACAAAACGCATGCAAAGATGAGATGAAATGGAATACTTACTGGACGGGCCGTCTGCCAACGGATGGATGGAGAAAAAGGGTCGAAAAAAAAAAGAAGTAATGGAGTGAGTAGGATGAATGAGAATGAGATGATGATCTCCATGATGAACAGTGATATTTGATTCAATCTTTACACAACACACAGTAACTCTTTGGGAGCATCACAGTTAGTGAGTTAGATCTATTAAAAATGAGCAATGACATCGATAGGGCGAACGTGAATGATGTCTCGTGATGAAGTGGAACACATGAGTGACAAGAGCGGGTCAAAGGAGACGATCAACGGGTGTTTCTGATTGATCTGATTGGTTTCTACATTACACCGTCACCCACGCACTTTCACTTTCTCTCTGTCTGACATGTGATTGTAGGAAACAGCATGTTCAGCTACCATTCTACCTAAAGTAAGGTGACATTTTCATGCATGTGCAAACGCATGTCAGCATTTGCATGTACGAGTGCGTATACTTGGTGCGTGGGTATGAATGTGCTGACAGATGTCACAGACTGAAGGCCCTGCTCTCATCAATCAATAATGTTGAGTACAACTGTTCCCTGAGTTTCGCTGTTGTCATTACAAATGATAGAGTCCTCATTTGTCGCTTCTCTTCAAGGACTTCATACATTTTAATGCAAATCCAATGCAATTTGTTCTCAACTCTTTCTGCTGAGGTACAGAGAGGTGAAGCTTCTCTCCTCTTTTCCACTATGGCAATTTAAAGTCAACAGCACACAGCCAGAGGTGGTTATGAAGATGTAATATTTATACGTCTAAACCTGTTGACATTTCACAGTAGCATTTTTACTGTCCTCAAAGTCCCAGGTTTTATTAATATGCCATTTTTCCATGCAAGTAGCGAGTGGTATTTACCAGAAATATGACAACGTAATGAATCAGCATTTTGGCTGCTGAGCTGTGAACACTGTGTGATGACTCATACCAAAACTGCTCATCCGTAAAAACAGTTTACGGATGGAATGTAAAATGTAAAATCAATTTTTATCACTTGTAAATAGCTCTGCAAGTGCAGGAATAAAACGATTTAATTTTTACTTGTTTTTTTTTTTTAAAAGACTGCATCTTAATAAATCAAGATGATATTTTCCTGTTTATTTTACACCAACCAGGACATTTTGATTATTTTTTTTTATTTCACTATTCAACTGGATCAACTGAATTTCACATTCCACAGACATTTGTAGACGTAGTATAACTTAAGTCCTTGTCTGACCGTGCACTTGCAGGGTGCCCGACGCCTCGGCTCTGCCCACACTGTTCTCTGACACACAGGTGTACGTGCCCTCGTCCTCAGCTCGCACCTGCGTCAGACGCAGACTGTTGTCGCTACGAATTTCAAACCTGGGAAAGCATTAAAACAAACAGAGAGAATTAGGACACAGCTGGTGGAAATACCAGCAGTTAGAGATGAGAAAATTCACAACACAGAGATGAGACAATTATAGCTCATTATGTTTAAACTTCATGCGTATGCACCGTCTTAAATGTTGAAATCATGACTGCGTTTTGAAATATTGAATTAACATTTGTTGTATTATATATTTATTATATGAAAGTGTTGAGGCTATGTATGTTTGATTTAGTTATGAATTTGTGATTAGAAGGTCAGTCATTTGATGTTAAAGTCTGAATTCTGACTCTAGATAGATAGATAGATAGACAGATAGCTGTTCACCCATTGGTGTAGATGTACTCTTATTTAAACAAAATATCTTGGTACTTATTCAGCATTAAGTAATACCACTACACCTCTATTGTTTCGTACCTGCCCCGGGGCAACTCTCCTTCCTCTCTGCGCCACCGCACAGTCGGGGTCGGGTCTCCGTGCACCTCACAGAAAAAGTCCACGGTGTCGTCAGCCAGGACTATCTGGTTCACCGGCTGTTTGGTGAACATCGGCCTCTCTGAGGAGAGAACATGGGATTAAAACTGCTTGGTGTGCTTCCTCTGAATTGCTCTGTGACTGTTTGTACTTGTCAGCAGTTTATACCAACAATGACTTAGTGTAGATACATTCGTGATAAAAAAAAAGGTCAAACAGGGAAATAGCAGTTTTTAATCCCAGGCGATTAAAACCAGAGTGGGGAGAAATGGGGTAAAAGGGGAGGAGTTTAGAGGTTAGAAGCCTTAAAATGTGGGATTAATGTCAGGCTACAGCGGAGGACAGTGTTCATGTTACCGCTTGTCTGTTTTACACTCTTATGTGAGTGACTCACCAAAGCTAGTAAATGATCATAGAGCACCGGAAAAACATTAAAGGAAATGACGTATACACACAAGGAACTGACTTGGAGATAAAAGTATGCATTTGTTCCTGATCAAATAAACATCATCAAACAATGTTACTGTGTCCTGTAGTCTGAGAGGCTACATCATAGTGTTATAACGTCATCCTACTTTGATCAAAGACACACCGGGCGTGGGAAAAATAGAGAACGGCTGTGATTTTCCCTGAAGCACTACTTGTACCCATTCAGCACCGATGTATAGGAGCTATCATGTCAGGTTGTTGAAAATGAAAGGTACAGCAAAGTGCTATCAAGCTTTAGCCCCCAGTCACACCTTACTGTTGAGGCCATTTGACTTGAAAACCCCCTCGCATGTGTAATAAAAAATGCCATAAATATGATAGAAAAGCTCAAGTTGTGACAAAGATCTCAACTCCACTACAATCACCCTTTTCTCTCTTCACTGCCTCTTCACTGTCCCTTTTGAATATATTCTCAAATAACACTGACAGCATGCAAACGCTGTCAAGTAAAGCAAAGCAGAGATGATCACACCGAGGCCTGAGGCCTAAGCTCAACTAAAAGTGAAATATATGAATGATACAGAATCATGAGGCAGAGACATGAAGACAAACCTCTGCTGACTCTTTATAATTAGAAGTATTTGTCATGAAATCGATTAAACAGGCAATTAGATAGCTGCAGCAGCACAGGAACATGGGTGGGAGAATCAATACGCCAGTGTCATACAGACCGTCCACATGAACAAATATAAATGGGATGTTCCTATCTAGGGTCATAATAAATTGCAGAAAAAATGGTGCAGTTGTGGATGGGTTATCATCTTGCAAATTTCCCAGATGGCAGTGATATTACATATAAGGCATGGTGTCAGGCCACGCATTTCCCGGGACCGTAAATTGATAAATTGAGCGTTACACCCCGGGTTTAAGTTTAGTGTTGCACCACATTGTGCAGATGGAAGAGCATCTGGGTGGTGGCGGTGCTGAGGTTGTGGGGGCTGGTGGTGGGATTGGAGAGAAAATATCAATTTTCTATCTGTTTCCTTGGATCAATAGTAAGTCTGAGCAGGCGAGCGCTGCTGAGAGCAAAGCAGGGAATCAAAGCAGAGGAAAGAAGGAGAGAGGTCAAGAGAGGGAAGCAAAGGGCAGCTGAGAGCAGAACATTCATCTTCTTTTCCAACAGCTTTGGCTTAGGAATTAAGAAAAATACAGATCAGGAAAAAATAGATCCGGGAAAAAAAGACGGAAAACAGAGGAGGTGGGTGATTTAAAAAGATCACTGTGAAAACATCACATTTTCTTTCTCAACAAAAACACTCAAAAATACACTATTGAAATAGATTATTGTGATGTACAATAACACAACAACTTAACTGTTTAATGACATATGTGCATCATATGCAGGTCATCATTGACTGAATGACTCACCAAACACTACGAGTTCAGCGGGATCACTGTCCTTCTCTCCAACCATGTTGGTACCAACACACACGTACATGCCAGCATCACTCTTCCTGGTATTAGAAATCATCAGCTTCCCCCCACGCATCTGAAAAGATTTCATAAACAGGAAAAGGAAAAAAACATTAACAGGTGTGATGTGAAGGAGTAGAAAAAGTAGTAGGAGGAGGAGAAGTGGAGGTGGAATAGGAATGAAAAAGACAAATGGAAAGAGGTTGAGCACAGGATATTGATGCATGTTAGTCTGGGGAAAAGCCTCTCGATCATCTTCACTGTGTCATGACAGATGTCTCCTTGGGTTCGTTCTAACATTCTTTGACCTCAGATCCAGCCCCAGGCCAATCGCCACAGAAACACCTTTTACTGTTCAGCTGCACGTACGTAATGCAGAAAGCAGATCCAGCTATTCTTTCTTTGCACAGAGGGAATAAGGCAGATTAGTTTACAAATAGGGGTTTTGCCTGCTGGTTCTATCCTTTACTGTGTGTTGTGGGAATCAGTGGTGGTTTATATTTAGAGAAACTCAATTTAAATTAAACAGCAATCAATGCAGGTCAGTACAGAAGCATATGATAACATGGTTGGGTCTAAATTTAAATTGTGACCTAAATATCCAGATGTAAACAATTTAGACATTTAGAGGTAAGAAAACTAACCTTTTCTTAGTGGCTGCTAAAAAACATATGTCAAACTCAAGGCCCGCAGGCTAAATCTGGCCCGTCTCATATATACTGTATATATATATAAAATGATGCAGTAGTTCATCCATATGCAAAATAACAATTTTGAAGAGATGACAAAGCAAGTGATGATTATCTGCCGTGTGAAAAATGACTGAATTCAATCAAAACTATTTCTAAAAATATTCCAAACAAAGGTTTTTCCATTGTAGTGGCCATCAACTAACTTACAGTGATCCTCTCATCTCGATCATTGACCCGGATGTTGTTTCTCTTCCAGGAGATGGTGGGTTCAGGATGGCCTCTGGGGGGGAGGCACTCCATTACAGCTGGCTCACCAGCGGCAACCACAACATCCATGGGCGTCTGACGAAAATCATCTCTCAGGACTGTGGAAAATAGAAACAAAAATCAGTCAGGAGACCATTAGATCCAGCGTCGTTCTTTGTTGGCACTGATATTGATTATTCAGTTTTGCAAATTGCTATGGCTGTTGATGTTTAATCTTCCGCTGCCTCCTCTACCTGTACCTGACTATGCATATAAAGAGTCCCCTATGCTCAGTGTTATCATATGGTACTGAAATAAAAACAGCCTGAATATCAATATGTATAAAACAAACAAGAACTAACACAAAGCAAAGACTGGCTATTGAAAATTGTATGAGTGAATTGACAGAGTGTGTGCATGTGTCCCAAAGGGCCCGGTTGAGTTGGTGTCATGTATGTGGCATCACAGCACATCAATAATGAAAGCTCTCATAGCTGTCATACACAAACAGATGAATTATTCAACCCGACACCCTCATGCATTAATGTACATGGCTGTGTGGTCAAGTAAACAATTCATGAACGTTACATCTATATTAGATAAAAACAACGTCCACACACACCACGCTGAATACAAATCTGGGAGCTATGAAAAACAACACGTGTCATGTCACACCTATCCCTACCTCAAAATTAATTCCCCTGTGCCTGTGTCCTCAAGGCAAGGCGTTTTTAAAATCTAATTTAAGTCTCGGGAGCGCTGTGACCTCTCAGATTACAGGTGTGTAGGATCCTCGAGTAGAAGGGAATGATGTAGTAACAACTGCAGTGTTCCAGAAAGAGGTCAAACCAATGCAGACCTGCAGGCTACAGGTTCTGAGCTACTCTAAGGATTAAATAGAAGATAAATCTATGGAAAGGTTTCAACGGGCTTCCTCTCTGGACTAAATTTTATCCTTTTAAAAATCTTACGATCTGATCTCTAGTGTAGGACCTCCATTCAGTCCTTCAGTAACGGGAACCTCTCCACATGAGCTTCATGAGCTTGTCATCTTAAACATATGCACCTCAACAAAGTGGATTGGATGCTATTGTAACAACTATCACCTGAAAAGAAATATACGCTATCAAACAACTGTCTGGCAGACATTAAAACACAACACGGCTGATGCAGGTCTACGTGGACCTCTAACTATGAACTTATCTTAGGATTTAACAGGAACATGTCCTGGCCCATGTTTGAGTATGTACACGTGTGTACAGGTCTGACACAGCGAAGATAGTGTCAATGTCGCTGTAATGTCACAGGGCAGTGGGGCGGGTCACTGCCATATCAGATTAATGGCACACCTCCTCTTATGACGCCACCCACAGGCCAACAAAGCCTCAGGATATTAACATTATTATCACTGTTCATATATCTAAACATGCATCTGTCTATTCATCCGTCCACATACACCCACTTACATCGAGACTACAGAGGACATTTCCTCATTCCAAAATACTGTTGTTTGTGTGAAAATGTGGTGTATCTCATTGTCAGGCTTTACGCCACAGAGGCTCATTTCTCTTCTTGTCAAGATAGCGTGGCGTCCTCCCGGAATGAGAGTAGGGTGGGTGTGTATGTGTGGAGATAAATCTGCCTGTTTTGTTGGTAACCAAGGTCACAGGAGACGGCCATATGAGTGGTTAAAGAAAAAAAGGATATTTTTCATTTCCTCATTAGCTAACAGAGTTAGCGTTCTTCTTTGCCCTGACAACATGCAGCGGTACATGATTTTTTGACGGCGCCTATATCACTACAGTGTTGTCTTTTCATCTGTGTCTCTTATCAGGATGAATTTGCCTCTTTTAGCCCTGGTCAGGCCCATATCCTGATGTCCAATTACTTAGCTGCAGAGCATTTGGGGCACCTTTTAAATCCCATTGGCCCTTCCAATACTGGAATGATATGCTAAACCACACCCCTGACCTTATTAC